ATTTTTTTGGCGAAAGTCGAAACTAGGTTTCGCCTTTCGCCAATGGCGAAACCTCTAGGTTTCGCCTAACAACTATAGTACCAAGTACGTTAGGTTAACAACTGGACAGGGTAACAAATTTAGGATTTACACTGGAGCACCCACAGAATGTCATCAACACGTGATTATAGTTACACAAACAGATAGTATGTAAAAGTTATAAATCGTCAATTTATAGTATGATTGTATTTTGTGAGCTTGTGTAATGTTACATAAATAAGAAAATAAATAAATACTAAATAGGTGATTTAATCAACTTTCTATTTGTTTGTTCGATTAAATTTATATATCTCAAATATCGTTGTTCTATCTTGTGAGATTTCGTGTGAGGAGAGGAGAAGTCGTTAATAAATGGGAGGTTGAGTGTGAGAAAGTAAAACGCGTAGTGAACTATAGTATGTACGTAAGTAATAAATAATTAGCTTTTGAGTGGACTTGATACTTAACCGTACATTAATACATTAATTTTTTCTTGTCTAGTAGGATTGGATATAATTAACTATTAAATAATTAAACTTGCATTTGATTTCCTTGGTGATAATTAATATAATTACACAAGTTGTGGTGATTTTTTTTTTTTTTGGACATTAACAATAATTGGATCAAAATTTTAAAAATTTTGATTTAGTAAGTATTAAAAATGGGATTGAATTTTTAATTAGTACATTATGCTTTCTACGGTAAAAGCGTAATATTGACATTTTATTTATTAAAATATTGAAATCAAATATTTATTTTAGATCTTTGTAATAAAAAGAATTCGAATTTAATATTAGAACAGTAAGTTTCAAAGAATTTAGTCAAAATTTATTATTGTACTGTATTTAATACACAGAAATATTTCACATTTTTGTAGAAAAAAAAATATAAAAAAAAAATATAAAAAAAAAATATAAAAAAAAAAACATAAAAAAAAAAAAAAAAAAAAACCAACACTTACAGATTTTTAACGCGTACTTCATAGTGAACCTTTGTGTCTTTTTAAAAAGAAAGCATTATACAAAATAATATACTTAACACTTGAACAATGGATATAGATGCTATTGAAATACAAGATTTATATTGTACTAGGTGTAATAAGGAAAAAAATAAGACTGAGTTTATTTATAATACAAAAAAAGGATCTAAATTGTTTCGAATATGTAATTCTTGTCATAAATTAAATAAATCTGCTTAGCAACAAAAACGTAAAAGGGAGCAATCTTTCATTGAAAATGAGAATAAAGATCAGGATATAGTATATGAAAACTTAGAAATCGATAGTATAGTTGAATATATTGGATATGCTATTGATAAGTATCAAGGTTTAGCAAATAATGAGAAGATTTCAGCATTTATTTTTGGATACATTATAGATATTAGTTTATTGGAAATGCTATTAAAAAAAATTGCTGATTTTTTAATTAAACATATTGAAGATGCTGATAATTATAAATGGGTGTATATATTTTTATAATTTTTTATATAATATATAACTAGAGTAGTTGGCAAACTTGCTAGCTTGTCAACTACCCTATATAATTTTTACTAATCAATTATATTATAAAGTTATAAACAAGTGTATGAGAGTGAAAATACAATAACATATCATTATTTTTGTTCACAACGAACCAATTTATTTCAGCAAACAAGAGTTCAAAAAAACCAAGATATTTCTAAATGTTGAGATACAAAATCTATTGAGCGATATAATTGTGATAGAATGATAAGAATTTTTTTAAATCATTCAACATCAGCAACAATTTATATAAGGCATAATTCATTACATTTATATTCAAAAAATGTTTTAATATCTGATGAAATTAAACAATTTATTACAAATAATATTGATCTTTTACCTTGTGAAATTTATGCACAGTTAGTAGAAAATAGACTAGATCTATCAGTTACTTCAAAACAAATACATACTTGGTAAATAACTTTAGGACAAAATTGGTATAAACAAGATGATGATTTATTTATATCAGTAGTTAAATACTTAGAAAAGGAAAATCATGAAATTATTTTAAATTAGCAATTTCCTGTTCGTATAATTGCATTTATAACTGAAATTTATAATAAGCTCCAAAAATCAAAAATAAAAATTAATGAATATGGTATTGATGCTACTTGTAAGTAATTTAATTATTTAAAGTTTTTACTATAAAAATAATACTTTAATATATTAAATTTATTTAATAGATAAAACTAATGATCTTGGCTTTGAATTATATGCTCTTCATGCAGAAGTTGATAGAACTAGATATCCTCTTTTATATTTATTGTTAGAAAATAATAGAAATTGCAAAGATGGAGTTCGTACTAGTATAATTCAATATTTTTTAGCTCAAATATATGATATTAGAATTATACCTGATTTTTTATTAACAGACAAAGATTTTGTACAAATGAGTGCTGCTTCTTTTGTTTGGCCAGAAACTAAAATATAATTGTGTAAATGGTATCTTAAAAAAGCTCGTATAGAAAGGTTATGTAATAATAAACCTCTATAGCATTCTTCATTTAATCTATTATCTGCTGAAGGCAAATGATTTCTATTTGATAAAATTACACTATCAGAAAAATTTTATCCAAAAGAATTTCAAGATACTATATGGAGTTTAATAGAAAAACACTTATACCAGCATCCATATATCCCAATAGCAAATAGACAATTTTTTAGTGCAACAGAAATTTATGAATCTGCAATTCAAGAAACTTATAAATTTTGTAAAAAAAATTCATTAGTTGCATTATGGTATTACTTATGATGTGAATGGTATAGTGATAAAAGATGGTATCTTTGGGCTCAGTTTGCTTGTGCAAACAAAATTTTGATCCTTAAAACTACAATGATTGTAGAAGGACATTGAAAAGTAATTAAAAGAGATTTTTTATATAAATTCTTTAAACCAAGATTAGATCTTTTAGTATTTATTTTAATAACAAAGGTTATTGTTAATCAGAAGCGTAAGTTTCAGCAAATTCAAACTGGAAGAGAAAAATCTGACTTGAAAAAACATTTTAAGTCTGAATAAAAAAGATTACAAACTCACAAAATTAATGACAAATATTTTACTAATATAGATTAGTAGGTTTGTAGTTGTTTCTATTATTTGATTAATCAGTTTCTAATTTGTAAATATTTAATACAACACAAAGAAGAAATTTTAGTTGATTTTTTTAATAAAGTGCAGAGAAATTATCAGCTACTTTTTTTGTATGAAATTAAACAAAATTTAAGTACAATTTATTTTAATTGCTCGAATAATAATTCAAATAATTTAACAAATAAGAATCAATCTGATATAGAAAATCAACCTAAACTAAACAATCAATCTGAACTAGAATTAAATAATTGTAATACTCTTTATGATCAATTAATAACTTCAACAAAAAAAGCTCTTATATTACTTGAAGAACAGAAGGCAGTAGGTAATTTTAAGTGAGCAAAAAGTGTATCAAAAAATTTTAATTCAATAACAAAAATAGTGAGTGATATAGAATCTTATAAAAAAAAAAGATTAATGCCTTTAATGGAAAAAGATCATAATCATAATACTCTTTTTCTAAATTAATTTTTTTTATAAACATTTTATTATTATATGTAATTAGTTTTTAATTTGCTTTAATTTGCTTTAGTTTGCTTTTACTTTATTTTGTTCTTGCTTTATTAACTAATAAATATATATTGAATAATTTTAAGCAGTTAAAATTTTTTTTTAGGAATACCTATCTATAGAATATAAATTTTCAACTAAATGAAGAGATATTTTTTTTTATCAAATTTTTTTCTTTTTTTGTATATATAAATTTAATTCTAATTCTAAAATTCTAATCATAATTTCTAACTCAACTTTTTTAATAAAAAATAGTTGCTGATTAATATTAACTAGCTATTTTTTAAAAAACAATTAATCATTACTGATATAAATTATAACAATAATAATTCTAAAAAAAAATTAATTGTTATTAAATATTTGTGTTATCACAAGCTAATAATACAAATCAAAAAATTTTATTAAAAAATTTTGTCAACTTATAATAAAATAATCAATCAAAGTTAATAAATTATTTAGTTGACAACTAATCGATTAAAAATTTTTAAATTAATCAACTAATCAATTGTATCAATTTGTATTACATTCGATACTGTAATAATGATTTATATACTATTTGTTTGTGTAACTATAATCACGTGTTGATGACATTCTGTGAGTACTATAGGAAAAGTTCAAATTTAGCAAAGGGTCACATGAACAAGGGTTTGTAGAGAGACAAAGTTTATTACTATGCCACTTAGTAACAAACTCGAGTTAGGTATTGTAGTAGTTAGGGGTTTAGCAAATTATTATTATGTTATTATTATTTATTAAATTAGATTATTATTGTTTAAAGTGAAGTTGAGAACTTGGGAACTTGTCCCTCAACTAGGGCCATTTCAGCCTTTATTTATAATATTATTTTGGCCTTCCTACGAGTGCTTTATTATATTTATTATTCCTTATTACATCTATTATTTAATAAAACTCTATATCTTTAATCTATCTAATGATATTTAATAAAATCTTATACCTGATATATAACCCCTTTGATCTGATTTCTATTATTTAAGATCTGATCATTGTTTCCAGTGATAATATGCAATAAATTACATATTTTGCAGATTTTGAATTTTTCACGTGATTACTATCACATTATTGAGCTCCATGTTTATTCTTCGAGCTCACAATATCAATAAAGCTAGCCTGGGTAGCTTGATTTCATATATATAATCATTTTACTTTTGTGTATATATTTCATTAGGATGATCATAAAACTAATCAAATCAAACCATAAGTAGCATTATATATACTAATTACTATTTAGATATTTTTTATGAAAATCCGAATTTACTGCAGGTAATAACAACTTTCAGTATACTTTTCTCTTGAATATAATAATTCCTAGTTTAATTTGTTATAAATGATATTTTAATTTGCTTAGAATAGTATAATAGAAGTATTTTTTCAGTTTATTTCTTTTATGAGTAGCAATTCTTTGACAAAGTAAACAAGCTTTACTCAAAATATAACAAAAAAACCAAATCTATTATTAAAAAGAGAGAAATAAGAGCTATAAAATAAAAAAAATTAGATATAAAAATTTTATGTAATTAACTAAAAAATCATATCTTCATCAATCATATTAAAAAAATATTATTATTTTGGTCAAAAACATAGCACGAACTAAAAAAATATTTGCAACATAGTATAGCAGGCTTTTATTCTGATTGGTCAATTGCTAAATGTATCGTCACATATTACACTACATATATCATCTAACTTTAAATAAATTGGTAGCCATGAAAACGAATTGTCTAAGGATACAGCATAAAAATTCTGAAACTACACCTTTTATTCTACCTATAGTAAAAATAATTTAGAGAATGGAAAAATAATCTAGAAGTTAGTGATGAAGTACACTCTTTGTTTTATAGGTTAAGGTAATTCAGCAAATAGCAAGATAATTTGTATCTTGGCTAATAAGTATTGGTATTAAGCTTTAAAAAAAAAACTTGAAAATAACGATTTAAACAACAATACTTATAGTTAGTTTTTTAATATTTTTTTTGAATATAGATAACTCGACTAAGTTTTTATATATTAAATATAGATTATATAGAGTATGCGAAGTATATAGAGTATGCAAGGGATATGTATAATTATATATCAGCAGATTTGCAGAATTGGTCTTGAATTAAAAAGATAATTTAAGGGGTAAATAGATACAATAACATGTAGTATAAAATTTATATTACATGTTATTGTATCTATTTACTCTTTAAATTATCTTTATATAAGTATATTTGTTTGTAGATAACTTCGAGAATACAATTTAGAATTAATTTAGGACCAATTCTGCAAATCTGCTGATATGAAATACTATGTTCTATAGTTAATATTTGGTTTTTTATACTGTTCATACTCTCTATGTACATGTATTACCTTAGATAGTTGATAGTTTTTTTTTAATTTATTTATTATTAAACTAAGTATAGTTAATAAAGATTATTTATTTTTATTTTTTTTATTTTTTTTGGAAGAGGAAGGTCTTGTTTCAGTTTTTATTCAAATAATATATTCATTACATTGTAATATTACAAGGATGTATATCTTAATCTACTTAAAACTCATACAACACTCTTCCCGTAGATCATTTGGTCACAAATTCGAGCTAAGAGTTTCTACTTAGGAAAAACAGTAAACTCAATAAAAAACACTTCTTAGCTTATTAAGGAAAAAGATTCTACAAAGAAAATTACTTATAAAAAGAAGAAAAAGAAGAAAACC